CACTTTTATTAAATTTAAATTCCAAAAATATCACAGCTGATGACCAACTTTGTTCCAGAATCATAACAAAATGGGTGAATAATATGTATTCAAATAAAATATCACCAAGAAAATAATTATGCATTCAATCTGTGCATTCTAAATAATTTTTTTTCTTGCAGATCCAGAAGCATATAATTTCTTACATTAGCTAAATCAATGGAAGGAAAAAATGCAGTGGTTTAGGCAGAAAGCACAATCTTTTTGTAAGACTTAACTCTTGTTTTTGAGTGATTGAGTGATATGCAAATGCAGACATACAAACACACAAATCCTTATTCAGAGGAATGCGTGTGAGCACACACACAGACATGCACGTATGCATCCACACACACACACACACATACACACGGGCATTCATGTACACTCTCACTCTCTGTCTGTCTGTCTCTCTGTCACTCTGTGTCTGTCTCTGTGTCTGTGTCTGTCTCTCTCTCTCTCTCTCTCAAGCATGCACATTCCTACAGCCACACCCATGGCTATGCTATCAAAGCTTCAGGTAATATGGGAATACTCGTATAAACAAATTCACCTAAATTGGAAACAAGAAGTAACCCTGTAAATAATCTTATCAAAACTTTCAAGCTAGATCTAAAAGTCTTACATCATCCAAGTTAAAAAAACAAACAAACTCATCTGTGCTTATAATATCACTTTTACAATATACACACACACACACATTTCTGTCTTGTAGTGTGAACATAATCACAAAGTAATTCTTATATGCCACTCAAAAAAAATCCATAATACTAATATACAAGATCATCTTTGTAATAATAATAATAATAATAATAAATAAAAATAAAAAGGATGAGGATGATAACAATGAATGTCTAAAACATAACAATATATAATGTATATACGATAACTTCACCAACAACACTATTAATCAAAGAACAAAGTCACACTTCACATATGGAATACTTTATCTAAGAATAATGTCAGTAACCTTGCTTTTGACATGATTTAATAACAAACCTGACAAAAATGCCCATATTTGCATGTTTGTAAACAGTTCTTATAGTAATAAGGAAAATATTCTTAGAGGAAAAATTTGCACATTTAAATCCATGAGCTTAAAAATCTAAAAGATCACCATTTTGAAGTTATAATGATTCAAAATACTCCTCAAAATAAATAGGCACATTTATGCAGCCTATTTTCCTTTATTATTGTAAAACAAATAACTTGTAAGTGATATATTACATTTGTTGGTTTTAATGATAAACTTCATATAATCCTATATTTACAGATATTAAGGAAGATCTGATACTCTCTTTGAAAAAATTATACTTTAAACATTATGAGTACATATTTCTTAATTCTGATATATCTTACTCATACATCTTTCAACAACTGAAAAAAAATCAGAAACATATGGAGACAGGAATTACAAAAGAGAGAAAAAGATATATATATACACTATACACACATGACTTAGAAAAAAACAAAAAAACAAAAAAAGAACAAAAGTGTACCTAATCATAACTTTTAACACAACCGCCAATTATTTCCACATCTTTATTGTTCCATCTCTCCCTGAGGAAATGACTAGTCGCTGAGGCTCGTTCATGACGATGACATCTGTGATGATGTCCTTGTGGCCGGGTGGAGGCTGGTCTGGGCCGCGCTTTGGGGTGTCGTCGCTGCTGGAGGGAGCTGTGCGTGGCTTGTTTGGGGTCTCAACGATGACTTCTGTTCCGTCGACAACCCGTGAACTGCGGAAGGTCAGATTTGCATTACTAGGGACTCAGTACATTCTGCAATACTAAGGCCTAGTAGTTTCTAATTCCCATGTGTACTACCTTACCTATGTGAAATCTAGTTTGCTATGAAATTTTTGACAGTTCAAGCCCTATGGACAAATCATGAGGGAAAAACAAATAGAAAACAAAGCACGGTGTCTACATGTTTTATGAATAAAAAAGAAAATGATGAAAAAAGAAAATAAAAGAAAAAAGAAAAAAAAGGAGAACAAAATAATAAGAAATCCTTGTACATCACAAGTCTCATTTTCTCTCTCTTCCACACCAAGTCAATGAAACAAAAATCAAAAGCACTCACCTGTAAGATATTGGCCACTGCTGATATGCATCATTAGCAGCATAGCACACGATATATGAGGATTCAGGCTCACAAAGGTCCCAGTAGCGAAGCCTGCCGTCAGTTCCTCCTGCCAGTACATACGGTCCTCTGTCCCCTTGGCTGACATACATGCCACATACGCTGTTGTTGCATAGCTAGTTCCGAGAATGAAGAACAACAATTCATTATCTATACAAAATTCTTTAAAAAATGCTACACGATCAAATTAATGTATAACAAATACAAGACGACGAAAACTTGTTTAATATTCACATTTTTCATTACTTTTCATACGTGTCTCTAACCCTGGATAAGTTAGGTAATTTAATCATCTGTTTTTGTATGAAATAATTCAAACACAACAATAAAGGAACAATAAGTCATTTTTCCATTCCTTTCTTATTTTGGCCGTTACACTTCCACATTACAATGTTTCTCTTTTTGTTCATTTTTGTTCATTTTGTTTGTTCAACACCCCAGGCCAGTATTCTATCTCCTTCCTAATTTATGCAAAAGAAGCTTGCAGAGACAACAAAGAGAAAAGGCCTAAAGTGAGAACAAAATGAACTTCAAAGGATATAAAATTCAATTCAAGAATACCTAAATGAAAATCAAATCAGGCCATCAAAGCTAATAACAGAAAAAAGTAAAAAGAGTGAAAAACAGAAAAAATAAAAAACAAAAAAACAGTAGAATGGAGAAAGAAGAGGAATAGGGGGAAAGAGAAGACAACTTTGTCCTACCTGTGTCATAGACAACGGTGGCTTCGGACTGGCCCAAAGTGTCATGTGTCTTGACTGTGTTTCCATATCCCACATAGATATCTCATTGTTGCCATTCACAGCAGACACCACCCACGATCCTTCCTTAGGGTGCATGCTCACTCGACGCACGCCAGCTCCTACAGGCAGACGCAGACACAGTATTATTGTTAGTCAATGAAAGAAATACATTTGCTTTTCAGTCTCCCATCATGACAGATAATAGGAATACTAATTACCACTAGGTAATCTCAAGTCCTTATTTAGAGAACTGAATGGGGAAAACAATAACATTAACAACATGTGGGGCACATGACCACCTCAGAAAAAATAAAATATAAGAGTACAAACAGGTATAAACTAAGACATATCAAACTTTTCCACAAAATTACACACTTAGCAACAAGAACAATTCAAAACTATAAGAATGACACTTTGGTACTAAGCTTATGTTTTTTCCTAAAGTCTTACCTCTAGGATGAGTAATGGTCGATATTGGCAGCATGAAGCGCAGATCCCAGCACACATGGTGTCCGCTGCTTGTCCCAACAGCTAGCCAACTCTGAGTTCCCTCCAATGCATACGATGTAATAACACCTGGGGATAAGGAGTATGTATATTACGACCATCCAAAAAGGCTATTTTGATATATCTTCTATATTTTCCATATTTTATCATTTACACACTTTTCATCTCACTTCTAACATGAAATCCAAGGACAAAGCTTTAAAGAAATTGCATAATCAATTTCATACAATTTCAGATCCATTACTGATTTCCACCAAATACATGAACTATTTCACCAAGATTCATCTGTAGATGTATGCAGACCTTGAATTCATACACCATATATGTGAACATTTTGTATGAAGACTGATCACTTTCACTCCTTCACAGAGTTTAGCATGGCTTTTATAATACAGGCATGAAGGCATCACATGTCATTATAGTAAGAGTATGAACATCCCTATAATGAGGTCATGAAAGCATCTGATACTGCAGAAACTAGCAACAAGGTCCATGATAATAATGTGGTTTTGACCAGTTTACATTAGGTAGTCAGATCCCCTTGAAGGCCATCAGCAAACTAAATCACATTTGAATCAAGTGTGAATAATAAAAAGACCTACAGAATAGTTAGAACTTGATATAGCACATATATTCTGCTATGCCAAAAGCAGTGAGGTATTTATGACATCTTGTGTCATAAATAGCTAGGAATATATTAAAAAATATTCTACATGTGATGACTACATAACTACATTATAAAGGCCATACCAATGACAGACGACTTTTAAACTGAACCCCTCCCATAGTATTCGCTCCTCAGTACTTCATCTCCCCATGTGCAGGAAGTTGAAATAAGTAATTCGGGGTGTGAAGCTCGGAAAAAAAACGTTACAGAGCTATGCACAAAACATTAATAATCACAATAAATCCTCGTCCTTTCAAAACAAACCTTTCCTCGGCCCATTCTCCAACTTCCAAGCTGTGCCAGGAGCTCGGAGATCCCAGCCCACAATGGACCCGTAGACTGTGGCATAAGTCAACACAGACTGACAACCTGTAATCACAAATGAATAAAAATAGTTATTGTCTAGAAAGTTCTTTTATTAGGTCTAAATCTCTATTACAAGTTATAATGTTCTATTGTGTACTTCCCAAAGAAACAAATGTAATAATTCTTCCATAAAATAATATAATGCAATAGTTAGCCTGTAAAGTTAGCATATGAAAATTAATAAATCTCAGAGATACGCATATGAATATGTTATCAAACATATGAAACAAACTATGAAAAACAAATAATAGAAAATAAAATAAAAAGCCAAATGAAATACTAATAGCAAAATAACCAGACGGATAAACAACAGAGGGGTTTCACCTGTATCAAAGTAATTCATATCCACCACATATCCGTCTTCTTCTGTGTTCAACTGTCTGCTACTCACAAGACTCATCTTATCAAGCCTTGACAGGAAAGAAGAAAAAAAGAAGCAGAAAAAAAAAATTAGGGAAAGAAGGAGGACTAGACAAAATTACAGTATTTTCAGTTTTTTAACAGACCACAGCATCTTCACTTTACAAATCAAAGATAATCTATTTCCGTGTAATATATCTTATTCCTCTCATTATCACTCTAATAAGAATATGCAAACAGCTCTGTATGAAATTCTCCTTCAACCTTATCAATACTTTCTTTTAAAACTTACTTGATAACGTGTATTGATCCATTACTGGAAGCTGAGGCAAGACTTTGGTGAGTAATACAAGGAGCAATGGAGGTAATAACTCCACCCTGCCGGTTATATGTGGCCTTTGACCTGTTAAAGAGTAAATCGTCATTCCCTGCTGCCAAATTTCAGTTGTGATTATTTCCGTCATCAAAACAAGCAAATAAATGCAAAAATCGACAACTCGTACCTATTAATGGGGAATTTCCTCTCAATGCGATTACAATCCCAAACTTTGACAGTCCCGTCATTAGAGCAGCTGACATATATTGAAGTGTCTCCCACAGGAACAAGTCTGTAAAAGGTAGGAATAGGAAGGAACAACTAATAGGAAGGAATAACTTAAACTCATGTCAAATGATCCTTTGTTCATATATGGCTAAGAGTATATTGCCAACAGATGCATATAAAAAAGATAAGATATAAATGAAAAATCACCTGTTTACTGCTCCCCGATGCTCATGCAAGTGTGCAACCAAGTGCCCCCTCGGTCGCCACCCGGGAGGAGGCAAACGTGTATCCCAAGCAAGGGTGTCCAATGCACGCTTCTTCTTAACACACACAAGGTGCTCCTCACGTTTGGTTGCAATGAGGCTCTCTAGCTCTGACTTGCAACTGGATACGCATTCTGTGTAGAGTTTATTTTGTGATGAGATGTATAATAAGGCAATACGTATATTACCAATCCTTCAATGCTAACATCAGTTATTATTCTTTCTTAACCTAGTCACTAAGTTCATTAATTCTGAATAATAAAGAGCAAAAGCTGGTCTTTATATAATTTTTTGCAAGCATTCTCCAAATTCCATCCAACTTTCAAACAAAATGCTTCCGAAAACTCTCCCACTGCTCTCTCTTTCAGTACCCCTACCTTAGTAACACTCTTCTTCAATTATACTACTTTACATCACAGCATCAACCATACCCCATATACTTACTGATAACACCCTTTTCTCCTCCGTCTGATGGGGGCAGTTTAGTGGCTGGAGCAGAGGAGGTATGGGCACTTGGGTCAGGTTCCGTGGGCGATACTGACCTGTGGAAGATCTTAAGGTTAGAGGACTTCTAATTCATTAAATGTATGATGACAGTGGAAGAAGTGGCTTGTTATCAAACCTTAAATGATAAGAACATGAATCTTTTATGCATCATATTTATTGGGTAAAAAAAAAGAAAAGATGATGATGATGATGATGACGAGCGCTAGAAGACAAGCTTGACATTATGGTAATAAAGACAATAGCGATAATAATGATGACAGTAAAGATGAAGACAAACAAGATGATATGAAGATCATCAAGTAGAGAACAAAGATGAAAGAAACACAAAATATCCTACCTATTATCAGCTGTTCTGTTGGGTGACACCCGATCCTCCGCCATGCCGAACATTGCTTGCCATTCTTCGTTCATAGTCATACTTGGGGACTGAATCATTCCCTTCTGGGATCTGAAATAAACATCAAATCAGAATTACCTTTTTGTTTCATCAGAATGGACATATTTCCATTATATTATTGCATTACAAAACAGGAGAGTAAAATAACATAAAACCAAGAATATTTATCATAGCTACAAAATCACCATACATTATAGGCACATGAAAAGGCTTTATAAATCAAAGCAGCACAAACTTACAGACTGAGTGTTGAGATATCTACCGAGCCGTCTTCAGGTAACAGACTACAGTGATGGGTTGGAGGCTGCTTCTTCAAATCCTCCAAGTTTATCTTTAAAGGAAAACATGCTATGAAAAGGTTTCTTCCAGATGTTGAACGTCAAACAAATCAAAATTCAGGATGATGGGGATAAGGAGAAAGAGGAGCAGGAGAATAGAAAGAAATAGAAGATACTATGAGGAGGAGGAGGAGGAGGAGGAAGATTAAGGAAGAGGATAAAAAGGAGGAGGAAGAAGACAAAGGAAGAGGATGAAGAGGAGGAGGAGAAAAGAATAATAATTATAAGAAACAGAAAAGGCAGTCAGAAGGAGAAGGAGGGGGATGATGAGGGGATGGATGGATGGATGGGGGGGGGGGAGAGGGGGGAGAGAGAGAGAGAGAGAGAGAGAGAGAGAGAGAGAGAGAGAGAGAGAGAGAGAGAGAGAGAGAGAGAGAGAGAGAGAGAGAGAGAGAGAGAGAGAGAGAGAGAGAGAGAGGAGAGAAAGAGAAAGAGAAAGAGAAATGAGAAATGAGAGATTGAGAGATTGAGATTGAGAGAGAGAGAGAGAGAGAGAGAGAGAGAGAGAGAGAGAGAGAGAGAGAAAAAGAGAAAAGATAAAGAGAAGATAAAGAGAAGAGAAAGAGAAAAAGAAAGAGAAGAAAAAGAAATGAGAAAGAGAGAGAGAGAGAAAATGAGAGAAAGATACAAAGAGAGAGAGAAACTGTCTTACCAATCCAGGGACCTGTTGCTGCTGCAAGCTACTTCTTGTTGCCTCTGTTGCTTTCTTCTGTCTCTGTAGTCTTGTGAGGTGATTGCGCATCAGGAGAAGTTGCTCTACATTCTCCTCCACCAAACCTCCACCAACCAGTCGACGCAACAGCTGGGCGAATAAGCAAAAATTGATCTTATGTTAAAGAAAATGAAGCTAAAGGTTCATTACAAAATTCTGCCTCTTACAAACAATGAAAAGAAAAAAGAACCTCAATTTATTTGAATTCAAGGTCTTTACCCCTCAATTACTTTCGTTAATCGGCTGTCCATTTCCATCATGTAATAAAGAGCATTAATAAAACAAAACTACAGTGGCCAAGGCAACTTCAACATCACATTTCACATAAGACAAAATCTAATCTAAATGGGCGTATGCACCTCTTCTCTCACCCCCATCGTACAAATAAACATCCCAAACCATATTCCCAAATTTATTACAGAACTTACATTCCTGGTCGGATGATCAAGATGCGAGAGATTAGTTGGAAGCTGGGCTAAAGGAACCTTCTGCTGCTGAGCTTCCTGAAGGAGCGAGAGGACCTGGCCCACGTCGGCGCTGCGAACCAAGGCATCATACACCTCGCGGGATATTGGTGGACGCAGGCAGGAGAGGATACATACCTAGGCGAGGTAAAATGTCCGTTTATATGCTTGTACTAATGAAATAAAATCATAATAAACTAATGATCTTTTCTTAATGTTCTTGTCATTCGATCAAATCGTAACAGATTCACCGTGAGAAGTGAATTCATACAGCAAAGAAACGGACGCGGAGTGAACACTTCCAAATGGCAAATAAACGTACTTCTCTGTGCATTTGCAGAAGAGGCCGAACCAGGAAAGGCTGGACTCTTGCAACCACCACTGTCTGTACATCGACCAGAGGCAGCAATCTGGCAACCACGCCAACTAATGCCACCACAGCCTTGAGGGATGATTTTATTCAACCAAAAATTAATTGTCTTTATTTCAATATTTGTTCTAATTCTACTTTATTTGTTTTATGGACAACAACTTACCAAACAAGAAAGTTTTGAACACTTGATCCTCAGAATGAAATAGAAATTCTTTAAAGTTTGAATTTCAGGGCATCTAATCTTATTCCAGATTCAAGAAAAGAAAAGAAAGATGAAAAGAGAGAGAGAGAGAGAGAGAGAGAGAGAGAGAGAGAGAGAGAGAGAGAGTGAGAGAGAAAATAGATGACTTTAAAATACCCTAAATCTCTAAATCTCAAACAAGATCATACCTGTCTTATCCAGAGATTGGGGTGGATGAGCAAAGGTGCCGTATGAGCCAAGAGGTCGCACTGCAGATAAGTCGGGAAGAGACCTAGTTCTGTCAGTGCTGTCATAGCCTCAATGGCTGCTACCACCACGGACTCCTCTGCATCGCTCAGTCCCTGTTTTGAAAATGGTCTATCAATTTTCACACTTTTCATTTTGCCGAACATACTCTACCCTATTTTCCGCATATTCATATAGTCAGCGAAAATTATCCATATTACCTTTTATAATAGTGTTAAACTCAATCAAACTTCATAAACAAATATAAATAAATGACAAGTGTCAATCAACAATGCATTCAACAACTGACGGTAAACTATGGCTACATAAGGACCTGAAGGAGAAGTGGTTTGAGAATGTCAGCGCAATGACATCCGATGTACGCAGCAACGCCCACAATGCTCGTGAAGAAGGACATGCGTAGGTGGCGGTCATGCTTGTCGTTCAGGAAGGTGATCATGTGGGACAGCAGAACGTCATTTGCTGTGGGGGGGGGGGGGGGTAAGAGTTCCGGAATCTTGCGTAAACTTTCTAAGACTGTGATTCTGTTGACTGCATGACAGGTATGAAGGACAAGTTTTCAATGATGATGGGTGATATAAAGTTGTTATGGTGACTGTGCTTCGCATATCAAACCTTATACGCTGGCATGTGAATGTGGTTGAATGTGAAATTATATATATAAATAGACTGTGCTTGTTTAAATTGCTATGAAGACCTATTGTATAAAAATGTGATAGTTCTCACAGTAAATTCAAATATAAAATACAGTTCTACAATGACCGTTATTCAAGACAGTTATGAACATTGTATGCATCATTATAAAAATATAAACAACTTTTCAGATTCTATCATTAAATTGTACTCACACAAAACATTTCCATATGAAGTACATTAGTAAGACTTGACAAATAAATAAACTAAAGACAAGCAACTTCTTACCTTTTTGCTTTCCAAAAAACACACACAATTTGGTAACTGTTTTCTCCATCAATGTCCGCTTCACCACATTAGACGGATCGGAGAACATGGTTGCTACTTTATGTTGAATAACTTCTTGCAAAGTTGCCAATTCTGTTTCATAACTGTAGGATGTCATCATCCCTTGGAGTTGGCTGTACTCAAGAAACCTAAAAAAAAAAGAAGAAAAAAAGAAAGAAAGAAAGAAAAAAAAAGAATCAGTTTGTCAAGTTTTGTTATATCTAGACTAAAATCAGGGAAAGGATAGTACTCACAAAAATTTCAAAAATATTAGTTCTCAGTGCTAATACCTACCTTAATGCAGTCTCAGCGATAGTAGCTATATTTTCTGCATAGGCTTGTCTCACAATTACAGCCTCGTCTTGCGTAATCTGAAGCAAATATCCAATATGATTAAATGAAAGATCAAAAATGAAAAAGTGTATATTCTAAAAAAAGATTATTCACAGTAATAAATGAGTTAATGTAAGTGAGATATATTTTTTACTAGTAACCACACATTTGGTCTAGTGAGAAAATACTAAAAAATGCAGTCATATAAAATATTCAGCACATGATATTCTCTTTATCTTAGACTTTACCCCACAGCCTTAAAAAGAAAATATTTGCAAGAATATTATATTCCTTAAATATAAAGAATACAGTACTGCATTGAGAAAAAAAGAACAACAAAATTACTAATCATGAATGGCAAAGCTAAAACAGACTACTCCCTTGAGAAAATAATACAACACACCATTCAGAGTATGAGACAACCTTTTCAAAATGAAACTTAACTTCACCTTTAGACACAAGAACAGTGATGAAAGGAAAGGAAAGGAAAGGAAAGGAAAGGAAAGGAAGGGAAAGGAAAAGAAAGAAAGAAAGAAAGAAAGAAAGAAAAAAGAAGAAAGAAAGAAAGAAAAAAGAAAAAAAACTTGTGAGACCAAAAAACAAGAACTTGTTACATGAGAAGGGAGCAAAGTTTGTCACTTCTTGATGCACTCACATCAGCCAGGTTTGGCAAGATGTATTCGGGGAATATGTTGACATCTGATCTTGGGATTGATGAGACGAGGGTGAGGCAATGCGTGACGGTGTGGAGGGCAAAAACACGCACTCTTGGCTCACTATCATGCAGAAGATGGAACTGGAAAGATAAATACCATAAATTAAGTGATTCTGTGATATCTGCGAAAGTGAATCTATGAAATGTAGAAACGTGAATCAATGAGATTTCTGAAACTGAGACTGAAACTTGATCCTGTGGTATCGGCGGAAGTGAATTTGGGAAAATAAACTGATGACATTTATGAATGAATTTGAAACTCTTAAGAGAATCTGAAACTGATACTATGATATAAAATTGAATATTTCAGATGAAACCTAACCTAAGAAACTATGCTTAGAAATATCTATAAATAAACAACATCAGCCAAATATAAATCCATTATAAAGCAACAATTATCACATAGAGCGGACTGGTACCAAATTTCTATGCTGCTTACAGTATAAGGCAAAATACGATCCAGAATGATTTCATCGGGAACATAATGTGACACTTTCCCTAGCAACTCCAGGGCATCCAACTTGGAAGATATAAAATGAAGGGCCCTGAAAAAAAGAAGAAGAAGAAAAAAAAAATCAATATTCAATGGATATTAAAACAATTCATCATTAATCATTTCACACATAATTTTTGTCATAGTCTAAAAACATGTATTAGCACTTTTTTTAGCACTTCCTCTAATTTGTATAAATGCTGATATTAAATCTTTTAAAAAAGCAACATAACCCTTTTGAACCTACAAATTTCAAACAAAAAAATTGCAATATATCATCAGAATATCCTCTTTCTCATCAGGTCCCCTTCTCAAGTACGCAACAACGCAAGAAAACTTCAAACAACGAAAGAGCAACATATCACCAGAATATCCCTCTTTCTCATCAGGTCCCTTAAAACAACACAAACCTATCAGTTGCAACATAACAAATTCTTCAACGGGAAGTCCTCACCTAATTGACGAGGTGATCAGTGATGCTATGATGATGAGAGCTTCACATTTCCTCTCTGGTTTCTCTTTGTCTTTCTTCTCTGCGTCGTCTTCTTTGTCCACTTCCTTGTCATTCTCGTCTTCAGCTCCTAATGCTATCAGGATATCACTCATACTATTCTTTATTCTGTAAAAAATAACATATGTAAAAATAAAAAATAAAAACCTACAAAAAAGAAAGATATACACATATAATGTATTACGAAATTAACATATGTAAAAATTTTAAAAATAAAAACCTTAGAAAAAAAAGATGTACACATATGATGTACGTATGTATCTATATAGGCACAACTACTACACACGGTTAAGTCAGTGACAAATAGTGACAATTATTAAAAAGAAACGGGGGAATTAAAAAATATTTGAAATACACTTAAAGACAAAGAAAGAAAAAAAAGAAAGAAAGAAAAAGAAAGAAAGAAAAAAGAAAGAAAGAAAGAAAAAGAAAAAGAAAAAGAAAGAAAGAAAGAAAGAAAGAAAAAGAAAAAGAAAAAGAAAAGAAAGAAAGAAAGAAAAAGATAAGAAAAGAAAAGAAAAGAAAAAAAAAAGAAAAAATGAAGAAAAAAACAAAAAACAAAAAAACTCACTGCTTGATTCTGTCATCATCCGGCATTATGGGAGTGACAGCAAACTGCTTGAGGAAGGGCCAGAGGAATGTGTAGAAGTGCTGTGGGAACGTCGTCCCTCGCTCCTGCTCCAGGTACTCGGCGACAGTGTGCCTGCTCTCCGGATCTTTCTGGATCATGTGCTCCACCAGTGACTGTTGCATGGAATGAAAGCGATAAGTAAGAAAACTGCAAATTTATTCTCAAATATCAATTCATTTACTATATTTTATTGTGTCGTGTAGTAATAATTCATCTGCTATATTCATTCAAATATTCTAAAATATCTCTTACATATCAGTAATCTCTTTGCTAGTTTCACAAGAATTACTACTTAATACATTAGTTAAAGGACGTTTATACTTAGCTTGCGGCTCAAACTTCTATGAACAGTCCATTTCATATATTCATACTTACATCATCAGTCTTCAAAAAAAATACTGGAAAAAACAAACAAACAAACAAAACATAACAGAAAAGTATTAAAACGAAACATGCAAAACCGGATCACGTATATATATATATTACCCTAACTCTAGGATCATCAATCTTATCCAGGACTTTGGTAGGATAATAGTCTCCCACACGGTATGCCAGGAGCTGAGTTAAATCAAAGGGTGCACAGCCCTCGGTGAAGAGCTCTGCCAGGCAACATCTGAAACATTATCCTTTGTTTAATATGCAAAGCAGTTTCAAAGTGTTATGATCTATTTTTTTGTGGTTATTTTTGTGTAAACAGAAATACCTGTATACTAATGAAAGTATAAGGAGACTATGCACTTGCATTAATAGTAATAGTAACAATAATAATAACAAAGCAAATAAAAAAATCCCAATAGAGTAAGATATTCTCTGGATAAACCTTCTGAAAACCACCTTCAAAGTGTGAATTGTGGGGCTGGCATATCTCCAGCACCTCTTGACACTTAGGGAAAGCCATCAAAGCTCCATCCTGTATTATCTCCCAAGTTTGTGCCTACAGACCTCATGGCAATATATTCCCATACAGAGAACCACCCCATACAGAGAACCATCCCATACTGAGAACCATCCCAAACTCTATCTTGCTAGAATATGGAGAGACAGAGCGTGTGTTCCAAGTGGATTAGGATAAAATATGGCAAAGATAACTGAAAGCTACAATGATTACTCTCTAAACATTTACCTACACATCCTTTGAAAGAGGCATTCTGATAGTCTGATAACTTTAGCAAAAAGGCTCTTACCCAACTGAAAATACATCCATGGCTGGCGTGAGAGTTCCTGTATCCTTTACCGGCATTAGAAGTAACTGCTGTGCATCTCTTTGTACAGTCTTAATAAACCTGAGGATATATATATCTCATTTATAACTAATAATCAGTAACAGTATTTTTACCTATAAAATAATTATAAACAAAAATCATAAACAAATAAATACATGAATTAATACATAAATGAATACATAAATATGCTTCAACACTTCCATGCATTCATCATCGACTCACTCACTCTTTACAAGAAAGTAATGAAAAAAGCTTGAACAACTTTCTAAAAGATGTAATTCTTATATATCAGTACTTTCAACTACTGATAATATCATATATACCAGATCCAAAATCAGTTGTCTGTACAAAAGACTTTCTCCAAAAACCTTATTTACTATAAAAACCTGAACACAAATATAACTAACCTGTTCTCTATAGCCTAGAAAACAAATCCCTTAAAACAACACAAACCTCTCAGGTGCAATGTAACAAATTCTTCTACGTGAAGTATCAAAGAAGTAGGTGTAGTTGGCTGGGTCGTCCTCGGGGAGCAAGGTGGGCTTCACTGTGGCAAAATCGGCAAGTAACAGCCAATTCCACGAGGACACCATGACATTCTCTAGCTTAATGTCTCCGTGGCACACCTGCACATGTCAAATATCCATAAATCTCCAATGCATTTATTTTCTTCTACTGTCAAAAATCACATGGCAAATATGAATATTAAGAACATAAATCCATGTACTGGTAAATTCCCATGCAATGCCTGTACTTACTTCTTGTTGATGGACTTGGTTTAGTGCACACAGGAGCTGGAATGCTAACCATTTCTTCTCTATTGGAGTCAAGAAAGGACGTGTTGATATTCTGTCATACAGGTTGCTCTTCACATACTGTCTAATCATGAATGCTGCTTTCTCTGTCACCTGCAAGACATACAAATATCCTCAGATGATATCAGCTTTGTGAGGAAGGAATAACTGAGAGATGAAAACTAAACAAATAATACACCTACAGGAGGGGCACAGTGGACAGTAGGTAAGTCTAACAATAAATGTAAGTTATCTTTAATACTTCATGACCTGTACACATTCATGGAAAATTTAGACACTTTAACTATGTGTATTTTGTGTATTTATTTAGATAAATGTATTTCATTAAGTATATAGTTAGAGAGAGAGAAAAAAAGGATATTTAAGGCTGTTACATAACTTTCATAAGAAACCAACAGAGTGGAAGTTGTAAACTCACCCTCACATAATGAAACTGAAGACAATTTGCTGCAGTTATTAACTTGGTT